GGTGAAATTAGTTTAATTGAAACGCTGGTCAAACTCCTTTTTGCAACAGAGTTTGAACTTCTAATTTCAATATTCCAATGGTTATCTTAAGTGCTTTCTATATATGCTTTTCTATCTCAATGTAATAATTTAATTCACGATGATCATAGTTTTAATTCCGGGTCATTTTATTAACTCATAATGGCCCTGTAGAATAGGGTAGACCTGCTGCTTATGGGTTTCTGGGGCTGTAACTCTTTACTGAAGGAGAAGGCTTCATCTTTCTTCCATGGAACAGCTGGTGGTTTTGAATTGCTGACCTTGAGGTTGGAAGTACACCTCCTAGCCATATGGTCATTATGAATTAAGATAGATGCAATGGCAGTGTTTGGGTTTGGTTTTGAGTTCTAACAAAGTTTATTTAATATTTACATTTAATCCCAAATTCTATCTTCCCAGCTAAATCTCATTTCCAGTGTATTTAAAACACAATTAACTGAACTTCCTTATCATGGTTAAGGTTGTTACTGAGCAACTCTATTAACAAAATTTCATATCATTGTTTAGAAATCTGCAAATCACATATGCAAGAAAGTATTTAGACTAGCAAAGGTTAAACATGCTTTACTTGTTATTACAAAAAAGCACCAGAATTTCAGGTGTTAAAAAAGAATGGGGATTACCATGAAAACAATAGTCAAGAGCTGTGGTATTCAACATGAATGTGAAACAAATCAATTCTGAATGATCAGAAGAGAGCATATTAAGTTGTCACTATTGATTCAAAAAGAGACTATAATATTTGAATTATCCTTGGAAAGGGGCATGAACTTATTTTGGTAAAAAACAAATTCACAAACCAATGCAGATTTGGAAGGTAGAAATCTATCATGTTTCTAGAGACAAAATATGCAACTACTTTTGCTTTGCAGACCCCAATAAGGTCCTAGAAAAAGAACCCTGTAGTATTTAAAATATAGCTTCTTCCTTTACAAAGTTTAGTGATTGTTTTAGAATGACTTTACCAAGTATGGCTGAAATGATATTGAAATTAAATTCTTAATTTATGTATAGAATTATTTTATGAACACATTACTTAGAAATACGTTACATTTATAGAAAGTTTACAGTTTTAAAATTGTGGTTGTACTTTATTTAATCCTTAGGAAACCTTATAAGGTAGTTATTATTGTTGTTTCCAGTTTATAGTAACTATTATTATCAGTTGGGTTGCCAACCCCAAGGTCAATGATTCAAATTTGCCCGCTCCTCTGTAGGTAAAAGATAAGGCTGTTTGCTTCCTTAAAGATTTATCATCTCTGAACCCCAAAATAGAGTGACTATGAGTCAAAAGCAACTCAGTGGCAGTGAACTGTTTTGCAGTATTGTTATCATTGTCATTTTATAATAACTTTGAAACTTGTGATAAATTGAGGACTATTTTAGACAGTCCAAATGCTAGAACCCAGTTGTCTCTTTATCCCCATGCAGGACTCATCTTCCTGCATTGTAAATATATAATAGATGCTCTCTACATATGGCAATAAGGCTCAATTCACCATGTAACTTGAAGTATACCAACATTATTTGATCTCTCAGTTGTTCTAGTATTGTAATGAGACAACAATGTGTGGTATACGCTAAATGGTAAATAAGTGGTAGTATCTGTGGTATCAGTCACTCCCTTGACTGCAAGCCAAAAGACTGCTGTTAGAACCCAACAATGATGCAATGCCTGGTGTTCTGCTTCCATAAAAGTTGCACCTAGGGAACCTTATAGGGCAGTTCTATTCTGTACTACAGTTGTGCTATAAGTCAGAATATACTCACTGTCACACAATAACAACAAATTACAAATAAGGAGACTAATTTAGATAGAAAAAGCCCAAATCAACTGTTGTCTAATGAATTCAATAGACCGCAAAAGAAAATCATCACAATATACCACAATAAAACTTTCCAATATCAAGGACCAGGAGAGAATCCTGATTCTCCTTTACCTTATTTACCTGATTTAGGTTTAAAAAAAAAAAAAAAGAACAGTTACCTACAAAGGAAGACTAATAAGAATAAGCTTAGATTTTTCAGCAGAAACCCTGGAGGCAAGAAGACAATTGTTGTTATTGGTGTTGCTGTTATTAGGTGCCATCAACTTGGTTCTCAACCGTAGTGACAGCATGCACAAGAGAATGAAACCCTGCCCGATCCTGGGCCATTCTCAGCATGATTCTTATGCTTGAGTCCACCAGTTCAGCCACAGTGTCAATACATCTCTTTGAAGGCTTTCCTCTTTTTCACTGCCCCTCTAAAATTAAACCAAATTAAAATCAAAACCAAACTCACTGCCTTCGAGTCAGTGCTGACTCATAGCAACTCCTTGTGGGTTTCTGAGACTGTAACCATTTACAGGAGTAGAAACCCCGTCTTTCTCCAGAAGAGTTGATGGTGGTTTACAACTACTAACCATGTGGATGGCAGCCTGATGTGTAAGTAGGACATCACCAGGGCTCCACAATGGAATCAGCACATAAAAAGCCGCATAAGAAAAAAATAATTACCAACCAAGAATTTTATATTCAGCAAAATGGTCCCTCAAATATGAGGGGGAAATAGGGTATTTTCAGGCAAGGCGACATTAAAGGAATATGTAAACACAAGACCAGTTCTACAAAAAAATACTAGGGAGAGCCTTTTGGATAAGTAGTCAGCCAACATCACCACTCAGAAATCCATCCACATAAATTTGCATGCAAAAAAAACAAAATAAGCAAACAAAAAACGCACAAGGCGTTCTCTGATAGAGAACCAGAGATATCAATCCATAATGAAGACAAATACAAAGAAAATAGAGGGGGAACTTAAATACAAAACATTCAAAGGGAAAGGAAGACAATGTAGTTCACAAGGGAAAAACAGGCTTCTATAAATTTGATAATTAAACAATATATACCAAGGAGACCTCAAAGAAAATGAAAAACGTCATCAAAATAAATAAAAAGACGAAAAGCACAAAACTATAACAAACATTAAGTCACTGCAAAGAAAAAGGAACAAGAAACTCGACAAGGGAAAAGGAGCACAGAACAGAAATGTATGAAGAACAGAGAAACCAATAACCCAACACACACCTACACACATGTCCACTGCATCATGACAGCAAGAGACCCACCCTATCAGGAGCAATACTGAATGCAAGCACATTAAACGCTTACTCTTAGTGGCACTATAAAACAGAGTCGGACTGATCTTCTGCACTTCCACGACTATAAATCTTTATAGGAGCAGAAAACTTCATCTTCCTCCTATGATGTGGTTGGTGGGTTTGAACCACCAACCTTGTGGTTATCAGCCCAACACTTACCCCAAGTCTTCCAGAGCTGTTTATAGATGGATATAATTAGCAATTTTATCCAACTCTCTGCTAATTGTAGATAAAAGATTATCCAGGCTATTTTTCCTTCACTCCCTACATGTACTTTTGTAGATCCCAGAGCCAATACAAGGGATAATACACATTTAAGAAAGATGTGGCAGCTTACAATGGACGTTGTATGTATATAGAGAGATATATAGAAATGTCATTATTATCAAAGGCCTGTAATAGAGTTGCATATAAGACAAGGAATATAAAGTATAATCATTTCTGTGTCAGCTTATTGCTCATTATTAATCACAGTTTTAATTATTTCTAACCTTGTTTAATGAATGCTGTCTCTATTCCACAGAGGATATTCATGCACCACTAGTGGGAAAAAGAGGGAGGCATATTCATTTCTAAAGAATAACATCTGGGACTCTCTCAACTGTTAAATCATTTCAATTATTTCTCATTGCTTTAAAAATCAAATATATAAAGAAGTGGATTATTATCTCAATAACTGTATCCACCTTCATCCTAAAGAAAACAAAGCTACGAAAATAGGAAGGAATGGGCTGAATTTTTTTAGCCATATTTTTAGTAGCATCAAGGACAAAAAATGTACCTCCAAAATGTTTTCATTTTCTGCCTCTAACTGAAACTTCTACTTTTCTACCTAATAATTCTTAATTATTTTTCATTAATATGGATAGATTTATTTTGAACATTGAGAGATATGCAGTGCTTTTTCCTCACAGTTATTCAACTCATAGTGGAAAGTCAAGGTAATTCTTTTTGTCCAACAGTTTTATTGGCACATAATTTACATATCATATATTTCAATCATTCAGTCATATCAAGGACAATTTTACAGTCACCCCCACTTCAATTTTAGAGCATCCACCCCCCATGGTTAAATCATCTTTAATATGAGTTATTGAATCTCAATACATTGTAGTGCTCCCTACCCTCTCCTGCCTTCATTATTTACTCTCCAAATCCCCTTCCCCTTCCCTGCTAGCCTCTCCTGTATCCCCTTGTATCCATTATTACCATTATGCATCTACATTCAAGGTAATTCTGGATCAAAAGTTCTTGACTTCCAAGAGGCAAAAGACCCTGTGGGAATTTTGTACACAACTGCAAGTGTATGCTTATACAAATAAATAAATGGAGAGAGAGAGACTTAACTACATGCAGAGCTCTCAATGTGGCACTGGTGGCACAGTGGTTAAGTGTTCAGATGCTAACCAAACGGTGAGAGCTTGAACCGTGCAATGGCTGTACAGCAACAGAGCCCTGGAGATCTGTTCTGTGAAAGACGACAGCCTTGGAAATCCTAAAAGCAGTTCTATTCTGTCTTGTCGAGTCACCCTGAGACAGGATCTACTCTATAACATACAATAACATGGCAAGCTATCGAAATACCTTCACTTGGTCCTCTTATCTAGCAATTTTATGGCATTGGATTGACTCATTAAACTCATCTTTAGTTATTGTTCTTTCTAACTATAAGCTAAAGATATCAATACTGTTACTGCTTATCTAATAATATTTGAAATAATGTATTTTCTGTACTGTGGAAGCAGTATATTTGGGTACATTGCTTCTGTGCTTTTCCCTATGCAAACCCAATAAATACCATTTTGAATGTTTGCTTTAGGTGATCCGGAAGGGAGAAGTCAGCTGTTGCTGGACCTGTACGCCTTGTAAAGAGAATGAATATGTCTTTGATGAGTACACCTGCAAGGCTTGCCAGCTGGGGTCCTGGCCCACTGATGACCTTACAGGTGAGTGTATCACCTTGCCATCATACTAACACTGCTCAAAAGTAAACTAAATAAAGGCAGACCATGGGAAGAGAGGGTCACATCTTGAAGTATTTTCTCACTTGTATGATGCTGTTAATGTAGCAAAGTAAATGTTTTGATCTCTGGGGTGAGCTTCCTATACATTAATCAAACTAGAGCAGAAACTGTCAGTCTATCCCCAAGCACATCCCAGAATATTCCTTAGCAGAGTCAAGCCAAGTGTACCATTGGAAGTGCCAAACTAAAGTGTATTCGTTCTGAAGAAATGGAAATTGTTATGACATACGCAAGAGCAAAAGTAGACACTGGGGTAGAAATTGGTCTAGATGTTTCTGTCTAAACCATTAACCTCTAACCAATAAGACTTTTTAAGTCATGTTGTCACAGGACAAGCTTTGTCCTTTAGGGGTGCAGGGTGGGGAGATACAGTGTAAAACAGAAGATTTCTGGCATCCGCCTTACAACTGAAGATGTTACTGTTATTTTAAAAGAACTCATGGCTGAATAAGCAAAGCTTGAAAGGTAAATATATTATTAACATATAAAAGAGAACACAGTTATGAATTGAAAAGCCGGAGAAGGGAAGTCACAGGGAGGCATTTGCAGATAAAGTTGGACAAATCATTGCGGGCAGAAGGCAGCTATGTGATATGCTAAAAGTCTAGTCGTTTTTGAATATCTGGACAAATGCAGATGGATCTGGCACAAAAGTCTTCAGTCATCAATGTCAGATGCTAGCCCGACAATGATGGTCTGCATTAAAAGCTGTAATAAATTATTCCCCAACGCCTAGTCTTAACAGCTTTGTTTTAGTGGTTGTCATTATGTAGAAAACATTTTTTCTTAAAAACAAAACTCTGAAGTAATTGTGTACCCCAGTGTTTTGTTTTCCACACTGGCTACCGAGCTTTCTGGTGCCTTAGTCATCTTGGCCTCCCAAGAGGCAACTCGGTGTTGAAGCAAAACCTTCAGTAAATTTTGTTGAATAAATCAACTCCAACATACATAGTCATATGTCAAGTAGAAAGAAAAAAATATGATTTGTTTTCTGAGGAACAGTGAGTAGCATTATAACCAATATTTTCCTTCCTATAAATTCTTGACATATTTTTTTCCAATTTCATCCTGGATTCTTTTGTGCATGGCTAAGCACATTGCAAGCTAATATACAGGTTTTAAATTTATATTCTTTGTTTTATAAGACATTACTGTTCATAATGCGAATGATCTGCTCTTTCCTTGGGGCAACATAGATCCCTTTTGCCTTATTAGAGGTGTTAAGGAATTAAAGCGAAAAAGTAGATATGCTTCTTATGTACTTGGGTCGCCCGATCACAGTTATTATCACAGCTTATTATCTGGTGGAGAAAGAAACATTAAACACAGACATATTAACAAGCTGAGTGAAGTTATATGAACAAAGACACTGGGAGTTTGTGTGTTTGTTTTAATAAAAACATTAAGGAAAACATAATTTAAATCTATGGTGAAAGAAGAGTTCTCCAAAGAAAAAGGTAGCTGAGATCTGAAGGAAAAATAGATGTGGCTAGCAAAACTATGGTAAAAAGTGTATGTCTGATTCGGGGAAAAGCACGTGTCTAGTTTATGGTAAACAAATGGGGAAAATGTATCAGACGGGATAAAAAGGTAGCAGGGGTCGATCATAGCAATGTTGAACATTTTGAGGATTTGATTGTCTTTTTTGTAAGTGCAATGAGAGACAATGGCAAGGATTTCAGCCGGATAAAATCATGAATGGGTGTATATTTTAAGAATATCCCAGCAGCTATGAGGGAGAATGTGGATTATAGAAGGAGAGACAGAAGTAAGAAGGTAGGTGGGTGATTTCTGCCTTGCGGATTAGAATATGCCAAATATGCTTTGAGGTAGAATTAACAGACATTGAGATGAATTGGATGTGGAAGGTGTTAAAGGAAGGCTGCCAATTTTTTTGCTTTGAAGACTAGAGAATTAAGTACATTCTTTAATAAAGATCAAAAATTTCGTTTTAGGCATAATCAGTTTGCGACATCTTTGAGAATCTTAAGTATAGAATGATTCATTTTAAAAATTAAGAAATTACTTTGCATCAGATATTTTTAAATGATCTAGAAATATAAAAATTATAAGTTTCCAAGAAATTCATAATCAAGGAGAAGCAGAAACACATGAATATATAACCAAAAATACAAACACTGCCATTGAGTCAATGTTGATTCATAGCGACCTCTCTGTGGGTTTCCTGGACTGTAACTCTTTACCAGAATAGAAAGCCAAGTCTTTCTCCCCTGGAGCTTCTGGAGGTTTTGAACTGCAAACCATGCAGATCGCAGCCCAACACATAACCACTACATCACCAGGATTCCTAAATATATACCAGTGTACCAAGTATGATAAGTAAGGAATTAACATAATAGTCTGAAAACATAGAGGAAAGAATTCCAAACTCTGTAGAACATGTAAAGATTTCGAGACATCAACTGGAGCTCACTTTTAAAAAGAAGTAAATGAAGATTTATTCTATAAGAAATGATTCTGTAAGAAAGAGGTTCCTATTAGAAAGCTGTTTGGGAATTATTAAGACCGTACATATGAAAGACTGATGAACGAGTTATTTCTGCCTAGTGTTAAAGGAATATACATCCTTGATTCTTCCCTCTTCTCTCGGAGATTTTCCTCTATTGTTTAAAGACAAATCCTCCGTTTGTTAATTCCATTCATCCTTTGTCTAAATCAAAAATTTTGAGTGGATAATCAATACATTTTTATTTTTAATTATTCACATGTGATTTACCAGAACAAAAGATACCAGTGACCACCATATTGCCAAACCTAATGACTACTAGTGAATAAAATGTAATAAATCTTTTGGCTCAAGGTAATACTTTTTTTTTTTAAACATTTTATTAGGGGCTCATACAACTGTTATCGCAATCCATACACACATCAATTGTGTAAAGCGCATTTGTACATCATTCTCAAAACATTTTCTCTCCACTTAAGCCCCCGGCATTAGGTCCTCATTTTTCCCCTCCCTCCCCGCTTCTCCCTCCCTCATGAGCCCTTGATAGTTTATAAATTGGTATTTTGTCATATCTTACACATATCTTGCCCTGTCCGACATCTCCCTTCCCCCACTTTTCGGTTGTCTGTCCCCCAGGGAGGAGGTCACACACAGTTCCTTGTAATCGGTTCCCTCTTTCCTACCCATTCTCCCTTTACCCTCGCTGTTTCACGACTCACACCACTGGTCCTGTAGGGCTCATCTGCCCTGGATTCCCTGTGTTTCCAGTTCCTATCTGTACCAGTGTACATCCTCTGGTCTAGCCAGCCTTGCAAGGTCGAATTCGAGTCATGGTAGTGGGAGCGGGGAGGAAACATTTAGGAACTAGAGGAAAGTTGTATTTCTCATCGTTGTTACATCGCACCCTGACTGGCTCGTCTCCTCCCCGAGACCCCTCTGCAAGGGGATCTCCAGTGGCCTACTAATGGGCTTTGGATCTCCACTCTGCACTCCCCCCATCATTCACTATGGTAAGATTTTTTGTTCTGATGATGCCTTACACCTGATCCCGTCGACACCTCGTGGTTGCATAGGCTGGTGTGCTTCTTCCATGTGGGCTTTGTTGCTTCTGAGCTTGATGGCCGCTTGATTACAAGGTAATACTGTTAAGGCTGACACTCTCTTGAAGTTTTCTCTACTACCATCCAAAACATGGCAGCGGTTTCTCTGGTTTCCATGTACATTGCTTAGATTTTTGCCATCTCTTCTGCTTCATTGATCTCCTGAAAAAGTGATCTTTCCCAGGGTTCTATCATTGGCTTATTCTTCTTCTCATTCTAAGCTGTATCTGCTAGGAAGGTTTTATCTAGTGACTTATTTAGAATATTTCCAAAGTAAAGCAATCACATGCAAAAGGGAAATAATGTATGCTCTCAGTTACGTTGTGGTAGGTAAAATATGGCTACTAGGGTTTCAATTAATATGTATATGGGTTTATTAAAAAAAATTGACTGACACAGTGTCTGTAACCATGGGCTGCAGCTCAGGAACAATCATAAGGATGGTGCGGGACTGGGCAGTTTTTCCTTCCAGTGTACATGGCGTCACCATGGGTCGCAACCACCTCAATAGCACTTAACAATCATGACACCAACGTCCCAAACAAAGCATATTAGAAAATATCTCTGCATGCAGTGAATGCCTGCAAAATAGTTCTTTTAGTGTAGTTTGGAGTGCCTTTCCAAAAACAACACCTTCGGGGTCATGCAAAATAACTCTTTTGAGGTCGGGGCCAGTATCAGTTTTTTAACAGCAACTCCATTGGCAGTCTTTTCAAATCACTGAAGCTTTCTAAGAAACTTACAGGAATGTTCCCCATACAAGGCAGCATTTTCCAGATGAATCATGCATTTTAAGGAAGTTTCAGAAGAGCTCAAATATGAAATGAAGAAAGAGCAGTTAACTCAGTAGGTTATGGTGATGGTGTTTTGGGATTTGTCTGTGTGTGTGTGTGTATGTGTGTGTGTGTGTGTGTGCTTTTATTCCAAAAGAGTAGTCTTAGTAGGTTACTCAAAGGGAACAGGATTATCACAGAGGGTTATTATATAGAAAATGTAAGAAATTGAAAATTGCCTGGGCAAAAATAAGGCCATGAAAGTGCCTTATGGACATTTTCCCCCCAACACAACAATGCACCTGCTTGTGCTTCGAGGGTAGAAAGGACTGATCTATGGGGTGTGTATTAGGAAACCTTGCCCCATGCATCCTGGTGCCTGATCTTACCCTTCAGCCCTCTTTCTCCTCAATGCGAAGAACATTGAAAAGGAACACAGCCCGAGTCTGCTGAGCGTGCCTGGACTGCGGTTTTGACAATGGAGCAAAGAGCCCAGAGTTCTTCAGGAAGAGTTGGAGAGATGAAAACATCTTCGGAAATATAGAGACTTGCAGAGAAGATATGTTCAGAAACAATAGTTTC